CAGTCATTCCCCTCCCCCCCCCCTCCCCCCTTCTTCACTTCCCTCCCCCTCCCCCTCCCCTCCCCTTCCCTCCCCATCCTTCTCCACTTCTCACCCCACTCTTTTTCTTTTCCTTTTTTTAAAAAATGGGTTTGGATTCATTCTCAAAAACACCATATTGAGGTTGGCAGGTGTGGTGACACACCTATAATTATAGCATTTGGGAGACTGGGGCAGAAAGATGCCAAATTCAAGGCCAGCCTGGACTATATACAACAAGACACTGTATGCATGACACCTGCTTCTATTGCTAAGCCATTTATAAAATCTAAGGTGGGTCAGTCTGTGTGTGCCTTCTTGGCCAATGGCTCCCATGGGAGGCGGAGCATCGGAAAGGCTGCTCTTGCCCCAGCCCCAGAGCCCTCAACAGGGCTGGTCTGCTTAGTGCATAGTCAGCTTGTCTTTTGAACCAGGCAGCTGTTGCTGCCTTATTTCTTTCCCTCAACAATGACGTAAAGATACTTGATGGATGGAAAACCCCAGCTGTGTCCAAGTAGATAGACCAATGCCCAAGGTGCCACATCTGTCTTACATTCAAAGACAGTACCTCCCTTGCCTACGATGTCACATCCTCATACTGCAGCCTCAAGCATCTCGGTGTCTAGACGGCTTAGTCACAGATTAGTGAAGTCTGAGGAAGAGGTTGGAAATTGGGTGGTCAGGAGAAACCCTCACGGATTCCTCTGACCTGACGTCCCCTTCTCCAGCCTTCCCTCTCCTCTGGGAAGCCTCGGCCTGTAGAGGGAATGCTACTGTCACTTCATCCCTGTCTGCCCTCTGCCCTCAGCTCGTTCCCACCGGTGTGTGGCTCCATACATTGTACATTGTACAAGATACGCTACTTTAACACCAAGTGCTGTTGCTGGGTGGGCAGACGCTCCAACCGTTTGTGGTGATCAGTAACCATTAAACTGCTTTGTCATGACACAGTTTGAATTGCTTAGAGTAGGCTGTACTTGACCTCAGGTTCTCCCATCTCTTCAGTGATGACAGAATATGGCTGTATACTCCTGCTTTACAGAATTGGTCTCTAACATCCTGTCTTTTAGCCTGAGGGTTTTTTTTTTTTTGTAGTTTTTTATTTTCATTGTTTCTGGTGTCTTGGTTTCATCTAACTCATACTGGCCTTGAGGTAACTTTGAACTGATCCTCCTGCCTCTGCCTCCCAAGTACTTAGATTATAGGTATGTGCCACAGTATCTAGCCTTCTGAAAAACAAAAACTAAAATGCTAGCCAGGAATGGTTGTATAAGTCTACAGTTTCAACATGCAGAAAAACAAAACAAAGCCACAGAAGATAATGCACTGGCTGGGTTGGCTTTGGAAGAGTTTGTTAGAGTCCTTTTGTCTACTCTTCCTTTTCCAAATAAGCCACCTGGATTCTATCCCAAAGAGAAATTGGCTCTTTCACTGTTTCTGGACAATGAGGTAGGATCTCTCCAGCTCCCTGACTAAGCAGCAGCAGCAGCATGAGTAAGCTCTGTATGTAAAGCAGGCAAGAAGCATGTACTAGCAGAACACCCACCAGTAATGGGTGGCCAGGACTTCCCTGCGTGGCCCAGGGTTCCTTCCCTTGAGTTTTTCAGGCAGATTGGAAAGACTACGCTAAGTCACAAAAGTTTTGTTAGGTTTATTTTAGGTATATGAATGTTTTCTCTACATGTGTATCTCCATATCCTATGTGTGTGTCTGGTGTCCACACTAGTCAGAAGAGACCCCCCCCCCCGATCCCTTAGAACCTGAGTTAGAGGTGGTTGTGAGCCATTGTGTGGGTTCTGGAAGTCAAACCTGGGTCCTTTGGAAGAGCCGCCAGTGCTCTTAATCACCAGGCCTTTTCTCCAGCCCACACAATATAAAATTTTAAGTTAAGATGCTGTCAGGGTCCAGCCTCGACACAGGATTGGAGTTCTCAACTGGAAGCAGGGATATCTGGAAGGTGCATAATAAATATGCACAGACTACTTTTTTGAGTATAAGTTGACAGGTAGTTTTTCAAGCTTAAAGTTTCTCTCTCACTCTCTGCTTTCTTTCTCACTCGTTTGCTCACAGCTTGAGGCCCTATACACTCTGCATTTCTCCTGTGCGCTTGTCTTTTCTTGGACTCTGACACTCCCACACACCTCAATGCATTCCCCTCTCTCTCTCACACACGCTCTTCACACAGATCTCACACACGTCTCACACACACCACATGCACTCTCCTTTCACTCACATACACTCTCCAGACACAGCTCACAGGCTCTCTTCCCTCCTCACATTCTCTCTTCACCTGCTCTTCTCATGCTCACTACGTTCACCTCACATTCTCTCTCTCTCGATCTCTCTCTCACCTTTCTCTTGCCCCAGTCTTTTATTGTTACTCCAAAAGCAGGTAGAAAAAAAAAAAAGACATTGTATAATCATTGCCAAATCAAATTCAGAAGAATAACCACATCCCACAAAGAATTAAAAATTACAAATTGTTCCGCGAAGTTTCTAGCTTTCCCTATTCCCAGGCCTGTAGCCAAAATAACAATAGTTGCAAACTTATTAAACTTTAACTTTTGGCTTATTATACTTCAGAGCTCCGAGGTCAGCTACTTGCATTTTCCTATGAAGCGCTAATGATAAACAACACGGGCAAAACTGCCCAGCAGTGGCCAGGAAGGGTTAAGGTAACCCTTAACTCAGTAGCTCCACTAGCCTTTTTTTTCTTCATATTGCACACAGTGGCACCTCTAAGAGTCCCAGTGTTTTGACTTCGTTTTACTAATTTTATGCATTCTATACTTATTCATCTAGGAACCACTCTTAAATGTTGTGCGAAACTTATTTCATAACTTAAATAGTTTTTTTCCTTTCTCGGGGTCCCAATGTTGGCTCTATTTTATTTTCTAATAATTTCTTCAACCTTTCTTTGCAAGTCAAGCACTAATCTGGAACTACCAGTGTGCAGTTATCGCATTGTTTCTCAGATGAAAACACACAGCATGCACCTGGACCATTAGGACTGTGCTATGCTGTGCCCTATGCCTCAATTTTTAATTTTTTAAGAATCATTACATCACCGGGCAGTGGTGGCTCACGCCTTTAATCCCAGCACTTGAGAGGCAGAGGCAGGTGGATTTCTGAGTTCGAGGCCAGCCTGGTCTCCAGAGTGAGTTCCAGGACAGCCAGGGCTACACAGAGAAACCCTATCTTGAAAAAACAAAATAAAGTCATTACATCAAGGAACATCTAGTTTCACAGAATTTACCAGAGCAGGAGAAATTAGAAAGATATAATAGAATAATTATCCAACTGAAAAACAGTCACACACAAATGAAATCTATATAGCTGTTGTCCAGGGCTAAGGTTAAGAGAAATGGGAACGGGCTGGAGAGATGGCTCAATGGTTAAGAGCACTGACTGCTCTGCCAGAGGTCCTGAGTTCAATACCCAGCAACCACATGGTGGCTCACAACCATCTGTAATGGGATCCAATACATTCTTCTAGTATGTATCTGAAGACAGCTGCAGTGGACTCATATAAATAAAAAAAAATTATTTTTTTTTTTAAAAAGAGAGAAATGAGAACATTTTATAAAAAGCTACCGTGGGCTACTGAGATGCCTCCATCCCGGCCTACTGTAGGCAGTCCCTGTCATTGTATGCTGTCCCCAGCATCATGCAAAGTAGTGGGTTTCATTATGACATTCATACATGGGGTAACTTCTGAAAGAAAGCCTTTGAGGGCTGGTGAGATGGCTCAGCATATAAAGGCATGTGTACAAACCTAATGACCTGAATTCAATCTCTGGAGAATTCAATCCCATGGTAGGAGAGAATAGACTTCTGGAGGCTGTCTTCTGACCCAAACACATGTGCCGGCAACCCCTGACCATTACTTTGTATTCTAACTTTAAAGAATTTTTAAGTGGCTAGAGGGATGCCTCAGATGCCTCAGTAGGTTGGAGAGTTTGCCGTGCAAGTGTAAGGATCTAAGTTCAAATCTCTAGCACCCATGTTAAACTCGGTTTGATGTCAGTGTTCTTACAAGGAGAGGGAAGCAAAGACAGGAAAGGCCCTGGAAGCTGATAGTGCACCTGACTGCATACATCATGGAAGAGCAATGCAGAAGACCCTGTCTCAGTGGAGAAGGTAAGGGCCAACATCCAAAGGTGGCCCCCCAACCTCCACACGTGTGGACCCACACTCTCGCACTTATATAAAACACTCTGAAAGTCCTATAGATCTTGGTGAAAACACATGACAGACAGCACTCTTCTACTGAGTCTCTTAAAATAGCTTGGGGGGAGGACCAGTCTGAACAGAGGGCTCACATTTCCTGAGATTTGTTGGGGATACAGGAGATGGAGTCTTTGCTAGCATGTGCAAACCCCTGACTTTGACCCAGGAGCCCTGCTGCAAGCTCATACAAACTGTAGTAGACTTTACAAATAC